TTAGTTGGGCATGGTGGCGAGTGTCTGCAATCCCAGCTGCTCGGGAGGCTGAGGCACAAGAACTGCTTGAACCCAGGAGGCAGAAGTTGCAGTGAGCCAAGATCACAGCATTGCACTCCAGCCTGGGTGACAGAGCGAGACTGTCTCAAAAAAAAAAAAAAACTATTTATGGACACTGAAATTTGAATTTCATGTAATTTCCTAATTTCCACGTCACAAAATATTATTCTTATTTTGCTATTTTAAAAACCATTAAAATTAAAAAAAAAAACAAAACAATTTTAGCTCCTGGGCTGAGCTAAAACAGGCTGCAGTCTATGTTTGTTGCGTAGACCAGAGTGCACCAACACCTGCTTGAGTGCTTACGAAGATCGGCTTGCTAATAGGCTTATTTTGGTCTTGCCTATTAGCCTATAAAAAGAAGAGTTAGGAACACAGCCTTTGGATGCAGATGGGTCTGCATTAATATTCTGATTCCAGACTCCCTCTCTCTTTTTCTTCCTTTTCGGTCAAAGTCACTGGGCAGGCCTGCTAAGGGCCAGAAGGCAGTCCAAGGGTAGCCAGGACTCAAACAAGGACAGTGTGCCAATTTCCTAGGGCTGTCATAACAGAAATTGGGTGGCTTAGAACAATAACAATGTCTTGTCTCACTTTTCTGGAGGCTAGAAGTCCAAAGTCAAGGCACCGGCATGGCCATGCCCTCTGATGCCTCTAGGGAGAATTCTTCCTGCCTTCTTCCAGCTTCTAGTGGTTGCTGGCAATCCCTAGTGATCTTTTTTTTTTTTTTTTTTTTTTTTTTGAGACAGAGTCTTGCTCTATCACCCAGGCTGGAGTGCAGTGGCGTGATCTCTGCTCACTACAACCTCTGCCTCCTGGGCTCAAGCAATTCTCCTGCCTCAGCCTCCTGAGTGACTGGGATTACAGGCATGCGCCACTACGCCTGGCTAATTTTTGTATTCTTAGTAGAGACGGGGTTTCACCATGTTGGCTAGACTGGTCTTAAACTCTTGACCTCGTGATCCGCCCACCTCGGCCTCCCACAGTGCTGGGAACCACCATGCCCGGCCCCCTTGGTCATCCTTAACTTGTGGGATCCCTCCAGTCACATGACTTTCTCCTTCCTGTGTGTCTTCAGTTGTTTTATCTCTAGGGCTGTCTCCATGTCCACACTTTCCCCATTTTATAAGGACATCGGTCATATTGGATTATGGCCCACCCATAAGACCTCACTTTAGTTTGATTACTTCTGTAAAGACCCTTTTTCCGAATAAGGTCATATTCTGAGGTACTGGAGATTAGAACTTCTGCGTATCTTTTTGGGAGGCACAAGCCAATCTCATAACAGAGGGTGTCAGTACAGGGCAGGACCCAGCCCAGCTTGGAAGTGAGCTATATTCAGTGGGGCAGGGTGAGGGGACAACTATGTAAATACACTGACAACAATAGTGTAGTTTGGCACAGCCAAGGTAGGAGGTACAGATACAGACAGAGAGAAAGCTAGAAAGAACCCTGTGGTGTTGGATTGGAATTGGCAGTATAAGTGTGAACTCATGGTTTTCAAAATGATAGATATAGAAATAAATATAGCTGGTCGCACGTGGTGGCTCACGTCTGTAATCCCAGCGCTTTGGGAGGCCAAGCCAGGTGGATCACTTGAAGTCAGGAGTTCAAGACCAGCCTGACCAACATGGTGAAACCCCATCTCTACTAAAAAAAAGAAAAAAAAAATTAGGGGGACGTGGTGGTGCACACCTGTAATCCCAGCTACTTGGAAGGCTGAGGCAGGAGAATCACTTGACCGGGAGGTGGAAGTTGCAGTTAGCCAAGATCACGCCAGTGCACTCCAGCCTGAGCAACAAGAGCAACACTCTGTCTCAAGAAAATGGAAAAAAGAAAAAGAAAAAAGAAAATATAGCTGTAAATACAGTACATGCATTTGTTCATTCATTCTCTGACTCTGTCCAATGAGAGACCGGGGGGCAGTGACACCTGAGCAGCAGGGAACAAGGTTACCTTGTGTGTATATCTTGGCTCTAAATACCATTCTCTACTATGAGGAACCCGAACCCGTTGGAGAAAATTCCCAAGTCCAAGCCCAGGGCAAAGTAAGTAGGAGAGGGGATGAGCATTTCATGCTGCCTGAAAGGCAGGGAGGTCTTAAAGAATGATGGGGATCATTGGAAAGGACACAGGAGCCCATTTGAAGGAGCTGTCACTGGCCAAAGTTGGCATGATTTGAGCATTAAAATAAATCATGGTAGGAACTGACTATAAGCCATTTAATAAAATAGAAATCCGTGAGTCCACACGGATTAAATAAGTGAAAAAAGAAAACAAGAAGGAAAACAAGCTCTTCCTTAGGTAGAATGCCAACTATTAAATGCAAAAGGAATGGTGACATTTTATTTATTTAATAAAGGCAACTTTTATTTTAGATTCAAGGGTTATACGTGCAGGTTTGTTATGTGAGTATATCTCATGATAATTCATGTCCCAAACCGCATGGTAAGTGTAGTACCTGGTAGTTAATTTTTCAATCCTTGCCTCTCTCCCTCACCCCTCTAAGTAGTTTCCTGTGTCTTTTGTTGCCGTCTTTATGTCCATTAGCACCCACTGTTTAGCTCCCACTTATAAGTGAAAATATACAGTATTTGTTCCTGCATTAATTTGCTTAGGATAAGGGCTTCCAGCTGCATCTATGCTGCTTCGAAGGATGTATTTCATTCATTTTATGGCTGTGTAGTATTTCATGGGTGTATATGTACCACATTTCCTTTGTCCAGTCCACTGTTAATGGGCAACCAGGTTGATTCCATGTCTTTGCTATTGTGAATAGTTCTGCAATGAACATATGAGCACGGGTGTTTTTTTGGATATAAACCCAGTAATTGGACTGTTGGATCAAATGGTCTTTCTGTTTTAAGTTTTTTGAGAAATCTCCAAACTGCTTTCCACAATGTCTGAACTAATTTACATTCTTATCAATAGTATATAAGCATCTTCTTTTCTTAGCAGCCTCACCAGCCTCTATTGTTTTTTGACTTTTTAATAACAGTCATTCTGACTGGCGTGAGATAGTATCTTATTGTGGTTTTGATTTGCATCTCTCTGATGATTAGTGATATTGAGCATTTTTCATATCTGTTGGCTGCTTGTATGTCTTCTTTGGAGAAGTGTCTGTTCATTTCTTTTGCCCACTTTTTATTGGGGTTATTTTATTATTATTATTATTGTTGTTGTTGTTGTTGTTGTTGTTTGCTTGCTGAATTCTTTAAGCTCTGTACAGATTCTGGATATTAGACCTTTGTTGCATGCATAGTTTGTGAGCATTTTCTCCCATTCTGTAGGTTGTCTGTTTACTCTGTTGATAGTTTCCTTTGTTGCACAGAAGCTTTTTAGTTTAATTAGGACCTGCTTGTCAATTTTTGTTTTTATTGCAAATGCTTTTAGGAACTTAGTCATAAATTTTTCCCCAAGACTGATGTCTAGAATGGTGTTTCCTAGGTTTTCTTCCAAGATTCTTATAATTTGAGATCTTACATTTAAACTTTTAATCCATCTTGAGTTAATTTTTGCATATAGTGAAAGGTAAGGGTCCAGTTTCATTCTTTTGTGTATGGCTGGCCAGTTATCATGGCACCATTTATTGAATAGGGAGTGTTTCCCCCATTGCTTATTTCCGTCAGCTTTGTTGAAGATCAGATGGCCGTGGGTACTCAGCTTTATTTCTGTGTTCCATTGGTCTATGTGTCTGTTTTTGTACCAGTGTCATGCTGTTTTGATTACTGTAGCCTTAGTATAGTTTGAATTTGGGTAATGTGATGCCTCAGGCTTTGTTTTTTTGGCTCAGGATTATTTTGGCTATTTGAGCTTTTTTTTTTTTTTTGGTTCCATATGAATTTTAGAATAGTTTTTCTAATTCTGTGAACAATGACAGTAGTAGTTTGACAGGAATAGCATTGAGTCTGTGGATTGCTTTGGGTAGTATGGCCATTGTAATGATACTGATTCTTCCAATCCATGAGCATGGAATGTTTTTCCAATTGTTTGTGCCATCTGTGATGTCTTTCAGCAGTGCTTTGTGATTCTTCTTGTAGAGATCTTTTATGACCTTGCTTAGCTAGGCATTCCTAAGTATTTTATTTGTGTGTGTGTGTGACTATTGCAAATGAGATTGCATTCTTGATTTGGCTCTCAGCTTGAACTTTACGGGTATATAGAAATACTATGGATTTGTGCACATTGATTTTGTTTCCAACTTTACAGAAGTTGTTAATCAGTTCCAGGGGACTTTTGGTGGAGTCTTTAGGGTTTTCTAGGTACAAAATCATATCACCAAAGAAGAGACAAAGTTTGACTTCTTCTTTTCCTATTTGGATGCCTTTTATTCCTTTCTCTTGTCAGATTGCTCTGGCTAAGACTTCTAAATGACAGAATTTTTAAAAATCACCATTTGGCGATGATCACCATGATAATGTTTAATTAAATTAAGGAACATCATTGCATATTGAAATTATACAGGTGTGGGAGTGGGATGAGAAAGCTTAAAAGTATCTCCCTACCAAATGCTTATAAATTACGATGTGGAAGGGGAAGTAACTTTACAATAGAGAAACTTGACTGAGGTCAAGTTAATCAAATGATCAGAGTGAACAACATTAGTGTTGGGACAGATTGACAATGAAAGCTGATAGGACTCATCAAGAATAATCCAGCATCACTTCTATGTTATTTTGGCCAAAAAAGCATAACCTCGGTCTAATCATCAGACAGAGCCAAATTGAGGGACATTATTCAAAACAACTAGCCTGCAGTCTTCGAGATATCAGGGAAAAAACAAGGCATCTGTTTCAAACTGGAGACCCGAAAGACATGGTAACTAAGAGCCATGCACGGTCCCAGATGGATCCTTTGCTAGAAAATACATTTATTGAGACACTTAGTGAAACTCAAAGGGGGTTTCCACACGAAGGGTATGTGAGAGTTCTTTGTACCGTTCCTTTAACACTCTGTATTTTGAAATAGTTTCAGAATAAAAATGGAAATGGAAAAAAAAATGCAATGTTAACATATACGAGTTACTACTTTCGACAAGTTAGCTTCCTTTTCATGCCTCAATTTCTTCACCTGTACAGTGAAGACAGTAACAGCTACATAAAGGTTACTGGGAAGAGACGGAGAAGCACCGAGCCCAGGGTCTGCTCACAGCATAAATGCTCAAGCCCTGGTCATTATGAGTACTACGTTCTTGCCAACATTTTCTTGGGTTTCTTAGTCTCTAAAAGATTGTCAATTGCAAGAAACGGTATTTTACATACCACTGAGGGAGAAACAAACAAACAAACAAACAAAAACCTTCAATGAATTCCTGACAATGTGATTCTTCTCGCTTAGAGCTTTTAATACTTATTGAGAGAACTCTGTTAGACTTATTCAAATGTAGATTTTTATCCTCTGCTGCTCTATGACAACTTTTAAAAGGAGAGGATCAATCAAGTGAATTGGCTGAGGTGTTCCTAAGGCTCCTTCACATTTTGGGTCTGGTGTCCGGAGTCATTCTGAGTCAGAGTCTCGGGGTCTTCGTTTCTCCACCAGACAGCATCCTCTGTGCTCCTGAGGGCATCCAGGCCTGCAGCCTGCCAGTCCCACAGAGGAGCTCAGGAAAGACAGGTAGGGACACCTGGGAGAAAAGAGAGGCTGGGATGTCACTTTAATTCCATCCTCTCCAGCCCTGGAGAATCCCCTGCAGGGTTTTTCCATGCCAGGCAGAGACATCACACTGGCTGGAGTGCCCGAGAGAACCACCCATGCCTTCTTCTACCCTGGGCTTTCTCTGCTAGGGTGAGGCCCTGCCAGCTCTTCCTGGCCAACCCTGCCCTTCCTGGTAGGAGGGAAGCAAAGAACAATCAAGCCAGAATTCCAGTGGCTTCGAGGCAGGTTCCTGCCCCTCCATTTCCTCGATTCCCCTCATTCTTGCCCTCCATTCCCCTCATTCCTGTCTGTTGCCCTTTCCCCTGGGAGATAGCCCCATGTAGGAGAAATCTGACTGCATTTTGTTGTGTCTTGGCACTGTGACTCATTCTGTCTTTATTCAAACTTTTCCTATTTGGTTCGCCATGAATAGTTTCTGCATTAATTGAGTTTTTTTTTAAACCATATTGCATTAAAATATTACTTATATTGATTACTGAATTTTGAGATGCCTGCTTAAATTTTGAGCCCGAGGGAGTGCCTCACTCATCTGACCTTAATTCTGCTAGCCCTGCTATACTCAGGGAGCCATTCATTCATTCATTCATTCACACACAGTCACTAAAGGTCTCCTCTGTACCAGGCCATGTGCTAGGTATTTGGAAGGGAAATGCAAGCTAGACACAAGCCAGCACTGAAGATAGTGTCGGAGGAAAGACAGCCATGAACATGCATGACCATATGACACATGGTGGGGTGGGACGGCAGGGCAAAGAGGACATGGGGGAAATCAACATACCACCAGCTACCACTTGTAGGGGATTCTCCTCTGGGCAGTTCTGAGCTAAGGTCTTCCTGCACACAGTCTCGCTGGATCCCCTCAACAGTCCTTCCAGGTTTGTAGATGCTTCTGCAAAAGTAACAGACAGATGGATGTCCCAAGGCTTGGGGAAGCACTTTGGGAGGCCGAGGCGGGCGGATCACAAGGTCAGGAGATCGAGACCATGGTGAAACCCCGTCTCTACTAAAAATACAAAAAATGAGCTGGGCGCGGTGGCGGGCGCCTGTAGTTCCAGCTATTCGGGAGGCTGAGGCAGGAGAATGGCGTGAACCCAGGAGGCGGAGCTTGCAGTGAGCCAGGATCGCGCCACTGCACTCCAGCTTGGGCGACAGAGCGAGACTCCGTCTCAAAAAAAAAAAAAAAAAAAGAAGCAGTGGACTTGGAAGTCCAACTCAGATCTGCCTGGCTCTGGGCTCAAACCAGCTGTGGTTATTGCAGCCATTTCTACCTGCATCGCCATCGAGGAGTCCGGGAAGGCTGCACGGAGGAGGCCCTGTGTCAGCTGAGGCTTGAAGGAGGCCTAGAAGTTTGTAAGAAGATAAGGTGGAGTAGAAGGCCTTCTGGAAGTAAGAAAAGTCACGTGCACTATTAGCAAAGTAGTCCTGGGCTGGCACTGCTTCCTCTTTCTGCTTCTCTGTTTCCTGATGACGTCAACATAAATAGGAAGCGTGGGAGGCTCACCCTGCCTAGAGGCTCCAGAAGAAAGCTGGACTCTCCGACCACACAGAGGTATGTTCCGGCGTCCAGGAGCGGTGCTGGGGGGGGTGGGGTCACAGCAGAGGGGAATGTGAGGAGTCCAGGATGGAAAAGGACAGGGGGAGCCTGGGGGGCGTCCTGTGGGCAGCTGCGCCCTGGGGACTTGGAGGAGTTAGGGCTTGGCCTCTTGGGATGACCTGAGCCCAGACTCCTGGGGCAGCCAGAGGGTGGGTAGGCAGCCAGGGGTGCCAAGCTGCTTTGGTGTTGTACGATAGCTCTGGGGAGGACTCAGCCTCGCCAGTGGGATCTGGTTGGTCCTGGTGGGAAGGACGCCTAGTGGGGTGGAGAGAGCTCAGGCCTGGGAGTCAGGCACCTATGGTCTGTCTTCACTTTGTCACTAAGATGCTGGTGGTAGTGAGAGCACCCCCTGTCCACCCCGGGCTTCTGTCTCCTCATTTGTGGAATGGGGAGCATAGAGAGTCCCTGACATCTTGATAGAGAAACAGAGAGAATGCACGCTCGTGTGTTTGCCTGTGTGGGCATTTGTGTGTGTGCCTCTGTGTGTATGTGCATGTGCGGGTCCCTGGGGATGCAGGAGTGCAGAGAGACTAAGAGGCAGAGGGTGAAACCTGGAAGCTTGCTGCGCTGAGGCCCAGAGCTGGGTGCCGTGTGGCTTGAGAAGCTCACTTTGAACTTGAGAGAGAGCCCAGCCCTTTGCCCAGAGACAACATACCAGGCAGTATCCAGCAATCTCTCTCTTTCTCTCTCGCTCTCTCTGTCTTTTTAGTTCTGACACTCTGCCCTGCTTATTTGGGTTGCTGATGTGCGTTGGTGCCCAGGTGTGTGTGTTCTGTAACCAAGTATGTTGGTTGGGTAGGTAGGTATCTGGGGTGTCTGCTTTAGGGTGTGTGCAGGCGTGCGTACTGGCCCTGAGAATGAAAGGGCAGGTGTTTTACTGGGACCTTGTCAGACGGGTGCCAGTGACGAGCTGCATATGTGCAATTTTTAGTCTTCAAAAACCCTGCTGTTATATTTTTGTATAACCAAATTCTAAATTTTTTCTATTATCTTTCCTGCTTTGTAATCATTTTATAATGAGTGAACATTTCCAATTAGCTTTTGGTCACTCTTTTTCTCATCCTGCAGTTTTATTTATATTGTTCCAGTGTACAGATATACCAACACCACAGGATAGTTCATAAACTGTATAAGGAATGTATTTAATACTAAACAAGCAACTACGCAGAAACCTGACTTCATGAAAATCAGAATAATCTAGAAGTATGCAGCACAAGAGACAAAGTCCCCAGCAATTTCTTTTCCCTAGTTCCATAGCTTACTCTTCTCACCACATGTATTCTTCCAGAACATTTTCTAAGCATGATACAAGCATGTAGTTTTTCTTTCCTTTTCTTTTTTTTTTGTTTGTTTTTTGTTTTGTTTTGTTTTTGTGATGGAATTTTACTCTTGTCGCCCAGGCTGGAATGCAGTGGCACAATCTTGGCTCACTGCAACCTCCTCCTCCCAGGTTCAGGTGATTCTCCAGCCTCAGCCTCCTGAGTAGCTGGGATTACAGTCCCCAGCCGCCACCAGGCCTGGCTAATTTTTGTATTTTTAGTAGAGATGGGGTTTTACCATGTTGGTCAGGCTGGTCTCGAACTCCTGACCTCAGGTGTTCCACCTGTCTCAGTCACCCAAAATGCTGGGATTACAGGCTTGAGCCACCGTGCCCGGCTGGTAGTTTTTCTTTTTACAGAAATGGGATTATTTATATATTATTTTATATATATATTATTTTTATATATATATATTTCTTTTTTTACTTAATATTATATTTTGGAATATTTCAAAATTTCTACAATAATACATATAGATCTAACTTGTTAAGTAATCCTAAGAAATATGCGGCATTTATTAGGATGAGTACACCACAATGCATCTAATCTCATGTTGACTGACACCTAGATTGTTTGTAATTTTTCCACGTCTACGGAACTGTTTCTGTAGACTAAATTACTAAATGCAGAATTACCATGCAAGAGGTTGTGCGTTAGAAATTTTAATAGGTATTGTCAAATCAGTCTCAAAGCAGCTGAGCTAAGCTGACATTCCCAGGTAGTGCCTAAAAGGGCCAATTTACCTTTAGAGAAATTATCAATCTTCTAATTTTTGTCCAGTATTATGTACGGAAATTCTCAATGTTGCTTGATTTTTTTCTTTCCCTGATTATGGGTGAAGTTGTACATTTTCTATATGTGGATTGGCCATCTGGATTTCATTTATGAAGAACATGGAGAAATTTTTGTTCATCTCCTGTTGAATTCTCTTTTACATCTTAACTTTTGGAGTGACTAATTTATTATGTGTATTAATAATCCATTTATATATGTTGAAAATATATTCTCCCAAGTTATCACTTAGTTTTTTTCTTTACCATGTTTAAGATGTCTTATGTTATATAAAAATGTTTTCATTGTTAAGGCAAACCTGTCATTACTTTTTATATGGTTTCCGGTTTTGGTGTCTTGTAAACCTCTGAGATTATCGGTGTCTTGTAAACCTCTTTTTACTTTATGATTTCTGGTTTGGTGTCTTGTAAACCTCCAAGATTACAGAAAGAGTTTTAATAATTTTACATTTTGGTTTTGACTTTCAGATTTTTAGCCTACCTAGAATTTAGAGAGGTGAATAATGTGTAAAGTAACTTTTAAAAATAATTACCATCTAATTGTCTTAACATTGCTAATTATGAGTGTGCGGTTTCTCCTCTCTTCAATGATTCGAAGTGCTCCTATTACGTCCTAGGATTCTATACGTACTTTGTTATTTTCCTTATTGTTTTCTGTTCCATTTGGCTACCACTACATTCCTTATTATTTTTCCAGGGAATGGAGCAAGTCTCTCATCTCTGGTTTGTTATAATTTAGAATCAGTTTGCCGAGGCCCAGTGCAGTGGCTCATGCCTGTAATCCCAGCACTTTGGGAGGCTTGGGAGGCTGAGGCAGGCAGATACCTTGAGGTCAGGAGTTCAAGACCAGCCTGGCCAACATGGTGAAATCCCATGTCTGCTAAAAATACAAAAAATTAGCTGGGCTTGGTGGTGCACACCTGTAATCCCAGCTACTTGGGAGGCTGAAGTGGGAGAATTGCTTGAACCCAGGAGGCAAAGGTTGCACTGAGCCGAGAGCACACCACTGCACTCCAGCTGGGGCAACAAAGCGAGACTCTGTCTCAAAAAAAAAAAAAAAGAAAAAAGTGAGGGGTGGGGTGGTAGGCGCGGTGGCTCACGCCTGTAATCCCAGCACTTTGGGAGGCCAATGCGGATGGATCACGAGGTCAGGAGATCGAGACCATCCTGGCTAACATGGTGAAACCCCGTCTCTACTAAAAATACAAAAAATTAGCCAGGTGTAGTGGCAGGTGCCTGTAGTCCCAGCTACTCGGGAGCCTGAGGCAGGAGAATGGCATGAACCTGGGAGGCGGAGCTTGCAGCGAACCTAGATGGAGCCACTGCACTCCAGCCTGGGCGACAGAGCAAGACTCCATCTCAAAAAAAAAAAAAAAAAATCAGTTTGCCAAGTCCATTAAGTATCTTTTTGGAATTTTCATGTTGATTGCATTGAATTTAGAGATTATCTGAGGGACATTGGCCACTGAAAGTAAAGACAATAGTGAGAGCCTCTTATGTGAGGCTTTTACGGGAGGACACTAACATGCCCCCTTGGCTCTGACATCGCCTTTGATTTCTGGCAGACATTCAGTGATGCCAACGTTTCCTCCACTGCCTCGTTTGCCAGGGTTTGTTTGTTCATTTAACCAGAAAAGTCTTGTTTATTATTAAATATTTAGGAGCATCTTTCAAGATCAACTTATCCTTTTTCCCTTTTAATCCATTCATCTGTTTGTTTGAATCATAAATAGATTTCTCGAGCGTTCTCCTTCAGTGTATGGAGTACCCTCTACTTGGCCATGATGCCTTCTTCTTTTAAAAGTCTTTGTCAGGTTGACCTATGAAATTGTTTGTTTCTGGAGTGAATTTGTATTTTGCTTTTTTCCCCCTAGTTTTTATTCCTACCATTCAGTTTCTTCATAAGCCTGGGAATGTTTTATGTGTGTGTTTATTTTAAGTAAGAAGGTGTTTGGTTTTTATCTTCTCTTTTCTCTCTCTTCCTTTCTCTGTCCCTCCCACCCCTTCTCTGTCATCCTCCTGTCCTCATGCTTACCCTGCATGCTTAGTGATTTTTAATCTTTACATTTTTAAGGATTTCAAATGTATTGAACTTATGTTTTCTGGTCTGGGTGCAGTGGTTCACGCCTGTAATCCCAGCACTTTGGGAGCCCAAGGTGGGCAGATCACTTGAGGCCAGGAGTTTGAGAACAGCCTGGCCAACATGGTGAAAACCGGTCTCTACTAAAGATACAAAAACTAGCCAGGCATGGTGGTGCATGCCTGTAGTCCCAGCTACTCAGGAGGCTAAGTCACAAGAATCGCTTGAACCCAGGAGGCAGAGATTGCAGTGAGCCAAGATCATGCCATTGCACTCCAGCCTGGGTGATGGAGTGAGATTGTGTCTCAAAAAATATATACATATTTTTTTAAAGAAACTGTATTTGCTACCAGCATTTGGGTTTATTTAGCACATATATGCTCTTCCAAAACAAGAGGAGATCTTTAGCAAGTTTTCAGTTCTCCTCCACTCTCCACCCCAGCCTCACAGTCAACTCCCATGTTAAAATCATCTGAGTTTTGGTTCAGTATTCTTCTTTACTTATCTATAAGTGTTACTGGTTTCTTTGCCTCAGTATTTCAGCCTTTCTTGGATTTTTTTTTCCTGAAATATAACCTGGAGTAATTTTTTTCAGAA